AAGAATGTCACATATTAAAAATAGTAATAAAAACCCTAAAATATGTTTAATTTAAAAATGCAATTTTAAACAGTATAAAGTTCAGCAGATGAACTGAGCTCTTTTCAAGGGATAAAAGGAAAATCCATCTTACAAAATTTAAGAACAATTTGAGAAACTTCAGGAATGAACATGCTGTTTCACTGCATGATGATAATACGGGAAATGAATCTCAGAAGTCTCTATTATAATCAGATATTGTCTGTCAGTTCAGCATCATAGGTATGAATAAGCTCTTTATCAACAAAGAAAATTGGGTGAATGTCAAAAGAAACTTTAATAAGATAGCTGGAATAAAAGAGAACCCAATAAAGGATGGACATGCTGGAAGACAGGATGATTTAAAAATTCTCACCACATCACTGGTGCAAAAATATTTTTATGCAGAACTATCCGAGTTTCCAAGGATGAAATATAAAATGTCCTGAAAGCCACGCAAAGAGTATAAAAGACGTTATTCTTCTGTAGATTTTACCAGAAGCTCATTAAGGTCTTAAAACATGGAATTTAACAAAAGAAATTTTCAAGGGCTAAGTACTGAGAGTTTACTGTCTTAGGAAGTAAGTGTTTATAGATTAAAAGCCTTGACTAATACAAATAGGAACTGTTTGTCTCAATTTAACAACGAAGATTAAGTATACCTCTTTCAAGGATACAAACACTGGCACTGCATTTACAGAAATATAATTTGATATTGGAATATAGCCCAGATAGCAAGACATTACCAACAAATACACAACACACATTTCGCCCTGACAAAAGTGTAAAGGCAAGTAAAAAGGAAGTACATGTGCACAAGTAGCTTATTTGTTCTCAAAAGATGTGACGCACCATAGTAATGCAGTTATCAACAGATTGCGTTAAAAAACAAAAGCCATAGTAATAAACTATTAATCAGAAGTACAAGAACCAAAGTTAATTTAGGAGTACCACTTAAGACCACAGGTTATAATCTATTTTTGCAAATTCTCCTACATGCATTACACACAGTAGCATTGAAAAGAATAACCAAAAGTGACCATCAGGATCACTGGACCAGCCTAGCATGAGAATGGCTAGCAAGCAAAATAAGAAGAGAGTTAAATGTTGAAAAAAATTGAAGTCAACTTGCGAGACCAACCATTTATTTAAATTCAGAAGTGTTAGAACTGTCAGATACAACTGGAATACATACCAACTCCAGGGTGAAAACAATGTTTGCATTGTATAGCACATGGTAAGTAGGATTGTAACTACTGACAGTGCATAGCAACAGACAAAAAGGGATTTCCTGAGAGATACAAGTTCTGTCTAACATTCAGGACCAGCAGTCGTTTATACAAAAAAAAGAGCAGCCTGTTATATTATTTGGAATGATCAAATTTCTAACATACTTAGTACACATATCTTGGTTGTGTGCTTGTCACCACTACTATTAGGCTTCCATCCTCCCAGCGCTGCCTAATGTGCACCACACTCTAACATTGTGCGAGCTCCGGAGAGCAAGAACTACATACGTATTACAGCAACAAAACATCACAAAGGAACTTGACTGAGGAAGAGGAGAACAGCATTACTACCACACAAATAATAAAGGAAAGCAAATGGAATGGCAACTTTATTTCTAAGGGGAAAAAAAAAATCTCTTCAAAGAAACCTGACACAGAACATGGGTAATTTACAGAATGATTCACCTGCCAGAAGAACCTGCTGCATTGTTTGAAAAAAAATTATCTCATTGCTTATTGAATCTGGGAAGAAAATCAAATCTTCTCTCAAAGACAAAGCAAGACCCATGCAAACCTTATCAGGTGCCAGATCACCTTAGCAGAAAGAGATGCCTACCAGTTCAAACAAATAAAACAAGAAGTGAAATACACCTATATTTGCAACAACGGGTACTTTTAAACAGAAAATGGTACACGCCAATTCATGAAAGTCATCCTAAAGCCTAATCAACATATCAAGGTATCTTGGAAACAGGATTAATTCAAAATAGGGTTACAGTAACTTATCAAATCCTCTACCAAAGAACAACTTACATCTGTGATGAATTTCAAAACAAAATTAGTATTATGAACACTCAAATCCTTGGACATATCAACGAACAAACAAACAAAATTACTACAACTAATTAGGGAATAAGAGATTATAAATATGAACTCTTTGTTTCACTATACAGTATCTTCCAAAAACATTAAAAAAAGGAGTTTGCTGAAGTTATTTTAATTGAATTGATCCTTACTTTTTTACCTAATTAAATAAAAAAAATTCTGGAAGGGATCTCTTAGCTAACTATGGAAGAAGTTGAGTGATTTCTGGATTAAAAATGTAAAGCTCAAGCTTGAAAATCCTAGTGTACTATTTAAGCAAAAAAGCAACAAAAGAACATCAACCAGCTAATCTAAGTACTTTAAATATATAAATAATAAAGCAGCATACTCATAAACACCTTTGTTCTTTCAAATCAGCTGCTTTATTCTTCATGTTTATCATTTATCATTATCAAGACAAATTCTGCAGCTCTGATTCAGACCATGATTCACGGGAGAATCAGATCTCAGCACAGAGTAAAAACCCACACAAGCTTTTGCAGATATGGATTAATGATATCTTGCATCAGTTTAACACAAACAATTTCAAAAAGGTAAATGCAAAAAGCAGTTACCACTATCTCAGTCAACTTTAATTCCACCGTTAATATAGCCCACTGCACAGTATCTCCCTTACCTGACAATGTAAATAACTAAAATAAATTTTATCTAGCCCTTACAGAGACTTACATATCACTCCTAAAGCAGTTTTCTCTATAATCTTGAGTGTTAGAAAATTTTCTTGCTCTTTTGTACCTTTACCTAAATGAAAGTTTTCTATTTTTATTTCTGTATTTTACATTCTCTGTTAACACACTACTTTGTGCCTGTGACAAGGCAACAAAAGACCCCAACAATCACTCATGCACCATTTCTCTGTGCATGTGCTCTTTTCCCAAATTTACAACTCTCACACCGTATTTGATCTTCAAGCAAAGTTTGCAATATGAAGAATAGCATAAATCTAGTACAGTATTTGTATAAAGTAGCAATATTTGTATAATTTGTATAAAATATCAAATGTATTATTTACAGATACAACACCATTTTCAGAAATGCTGTTAAATACAGTGAGGTAGAAGCAAGGTAAAACTTTTAAGCAGGTATAAGATATGCAAGGATACCAGTCCAATAACCATCATAAGCATGAGACTAGCCTTTACTAAGGGTAAATAATCAGAAAATTAGAGACCCTGGATTACCAAATAGTATAGCTCTTTGCTCTGTGACTTCTCTGCTAGGAGGGACAGAGATTTTTAAACAACAGGAGCAAGGACACAGCATTAGAAGCTCTCTAGGGCACATGAGCCCTTGGACAGGGTGTTATAATTTTAATTATGAGTTTTAAAGTCTAACATAAATATATTTATATTATAATACATACATTATCCGTCTTGATAGAGAAACTTACTTTATCTTCAGTTCTTGTTTAACAAATTTCCTTATGAACAATCTAATTCAAATTAGCTTCTGTATTTCAGAAGGGAAATAAACATACCTGACTGTACTGCATGACTCTAGCACAGCCATGCAACCTTTGCAGTTTTAGGACTCCTTGAGGCCATGCATTACAGGTCTGTACTATACAACCCCTAACAACCTGCTTTATTACAGTAACAAATGCACTACCAAAAAAAAAGGTCCCCTGCGGTAACTAGTTATAGGTTTTATGGGAAGCACCAGGAATGCAGAAAATGGCATTCAGTCTCAATCTCACTCATAATTTAGGGAGACAAGACTCATCCATTATGTTGTCTCTTGCTTTCTGCTTCTGCTGTTCTCAAAAGCTCTAGAATTGCAACTGCCAAATACACCTTCATTAGAAAAAAATGCACTCAACTTTAGTTAGAGAACTTAATGCATCTTAAAATCTTTGAAAAACTTACACTTAATATTATTATTCTTGATTTCACTCTCAACTCAGAGACGTGTTTGTTAAACTGGTCTGTTTTCATGTTACTACTTCCCTATAATTTAATTTTTGAAAGTTTGTGAAGTCAGCACACACATCATTCATAATGTGAGGTGGCACAGCAGGAGCAGCGAATATGCCAGTTCTGATGAAATGTATCCAAATGTCCTGTCTGCTCCATTTTCATTTTTCCTTTACATAAAAAATTATTCTGAAAATATCAAAGTCCATACAAAAAATCTAAATAAGTATCTACCAGTTGTGTCAGACGTTAGTTTCTTTTCTAATTTATTGCGTAAAATCACAGAATCACAGAATGGCAGTGGCTGGAAGGGACCTCAGGAGATCATCTAGTCCAAACCCCCTGCCAAAGCAGGTTCCCTATAACAGGTCACACAGGCAAGCATCCAGTCAGGTTTTGAATAACTCCAGAGAAGGAGACTCCACAACCTCTCTGGGCAGCCTATTCCAGTGCTCCGTCACCCTCACAGTAAATAAGTTTTTCCTTAAGTTTGTATGGAACTTTTGGTGTTCCAGTTTGTGCCAATTGCCCCTTGCCCTGTCACCAGCCACCACCAAAAAGAGCCCAGCCTCATCCATTTGGCCCCCACACTTCAGATATTTATAGGCACCAAAGATCCCCTCTCAATCTTCTCTTCTCCAGGCTGAAGAGTCCCAGCTCTCTCAGCCTCTCCTTGCGAGGCAGATGCTCCTGGCCCCTAATCATCTTTGTGACCCTCCACTGGACTCTCTCCAGAAGATCCCTGTCCCTCTTGAACTGAGGAGCCCAGGACTTGACACGGTACTCCAGATTCAGCCTCACCAGGGCAGAGTAGAGGGGAAGGAGAACCTTCCTTGACCTAGGAGTTTCTAAACTGAATTGATTATTATGCAATAGCTTTCTTGCAAGCAATTTTTTAAGCACTTGGTTTTTATGATTAATTTTCATAACGAGTAAACACAACAACAATACATACCTGCAATTTCTTCTATGGAGTTAGCTCTCATGTCCAAAAGAACTGTGCCATTCAGGATACAGCTTCTCAGCTCAAACAAGCTATGAAGTGACAGTGTAGCAACATATGGTTTGCTCCACCTCTCTCCACCATCCTCTACATCTTCTTCAAACTTCAACCACCTGTACAAACGAACAATTTTATAACTCCACTGCGCACAAGAATGAAAAATAAATTTCTACAATAGAACAATAAGAAGTATGAAAAGGATAGAGAAGAATTTGTAGTAGATAAAAAGAAAAGCTATAGATAATAAGAACACAGGAGAAAACTTTCTTAATTTAGTCTTAACTTTGGACCAAATACAACAGAGAAGATAAATTTTTCATTTAAAGTAAATATACTGACATATTCACACTCCACAGAATCTGCACTGATTATCACCACCATAATCTTTTCACAAAAGATACTGTTACCAACATTGTTAAAGTTGTTAGTTACTTATCTGCACTAAGCTACTCATAAAGGTAGTAAAGCATTATGCAAAATATAGGTTAATTTTCATTTAAAAGTTCAGTCAATTAAAATTAAAAACTTTACAGACACATACATGCACACACAAGCAATGGATAAATACTTGTGAACAAAAGGCCCCAAAATACGGGACTTAATGAAGCAAAACAGCCGCAAGAACTACATGAAACAGCACTTTAGAATCCAGTAACAACATTGTATCTCATTATTCTGAGTTTCCTTTGCCTGTTCTCAGGTTCAGTGTAAATCTGGGGAGACTTCAACAAAGGACACCTGAAACTGGCATGAGAGGATCAGGTCTTGTGTTACTAGCCAGCTGGATCAACTTTTTTGTGCAATTTTTTAATTGTTTGCTGATAAAAATTACACTTAAAATGTTAAAAGAATACTAAACAAACAGAAAAGTCTGTTGACATACGCAAAAGTGTTTTAAATTAAAGCTATTAAGTCTTCCAAGCATATGCAGATGTTGCTGCGTGGAGCCATGCAGCCTGCCAGCCTGGCAAGTTTTGAACACCTGCAGCCACAGCACAAGCCTCTACCACCTGACTCAACAGCACTCAGGTATTTCATATGGGCCAGGCAGCAGAGAAGTCAAGCAGAGCCTCACACCTTGACGGCACCCTCACACTTATTTCCAGACAGCAGGGAAGCATAGAGCCTTAAGACCTCTAAAGCTGAGCAATTTCCAGTTTTTTCAAGCCTTGCAGCCCAGCAACACAGCAAACATAGCTGTCCTCTTCCGTTCTTGGCCCACCTGCCTAGCTCTGCTCCTACTTGTAAAATATACCTACGTACCTGTCTTTTAGATACTTTCCTCCTTTCAGTCCCTGTGTAACAGATTCTCCCCTTTCTGATGCCATCCTGCAAGCAGCCACCTCTTCAGTGACCCACTCATCACCAGCACATCTGCTCCCTTCCTGATGCTTTCCATTTTTTTCTAACTGTACAGCTGCCTCCTAATCACTCTCCCATTATTTACACACAAAATTTGTCCCCAACTCCTTGGCTCCTCCAAAATCTCCAATCTCCTGTGTCTAGCCCTCTCCTACTCTTTGTATTTAAACATTTCTCCCCACATTTCCTCTGTGCTGGACAGTTTCTGTATCTCATCTTTGCCCACAAGACCTCCTCTCCATCAGACTTCTGTTTTCCACATTCTTCATTGCAATCTCTTCTCTCCCCTGCCTAGCCAGGCTACGTCCTTTACCGTTTCATTCTTCCAGAGAAGCTGTAAGGACACAGTACACATAAAAATTTGCTACTGCAAAGCTGAATGAAGAAATTGAATTTGCATATGCAAATAAGATTTTCAAAACCACGTCCAAATGGACATCAAACAGAAATTAATAGTCCCCACTCACATCAAATTCAAAGCCATGTATGTAAAGGATGAGCTACAACAACTCAGGAAAGCTACCAAGAGGTATGTGAAGAGGAAACAAAGTTCTTAATTTTATTTTTTTTTTTTCATTTTGCAGTTGCACTTGAACTCCACAAGAAGAAGCTGCTCCTAGCTTACTCATGACACTCATGTTTCCAAGCTAAAAATATCTATCTATCTGTGGTCATAACATCATAAACATGGAGAATTAATTATCCTACTTAAACTACTGCCTCCTAAAGTCTGCAAAATATCTACATTTTAATCTTCTCTGCTTTTGTACACATTTCTAATCTCTAAGATTTTTATAAGATTATGATCTTTGCACTTGTGCATTCCCAATTATTTCTGATGTACTATCATTTTAAGCTGATTCAAAAAAGATTTAAAATCACACTACATATACCCTAAAAACAATGATCCAAGCATAGATTCCCACAGAATATAATCAGAAACCTCATACTGTCATTACCTTCTGTTCATGTAAAGGCTTCAACATTTCTTATCTGATTATACTGCTACAGTCTGTCTTTGATATTACCTATTTTGAATATACTGACCGATTCTAAACAGATTTTAAATGAGTGATAAAAGACAAGCATTTTCTTAAAAGCTTCATTAAGACACATGACTGGACGGAGGCAGGCTCATAACCAGACCTCATAACTTTCAAGGGGCACACGGACAAGAAAAGTCTAAATCATAGCAACAGCTTTAATTCAGAGTTTATGGTCTTAATCAGACAGCAAAACTTACACACAACGTAAAAACTCACAGAAAAGTATTGCTACTGCTCAAATAATCATACTTGCCATCGTGATCATCTCCATCTGAGTTTCAATCAATTTGAATAGTATAATTCTATGGGTTGCATCCAATTTTCTACTGTTACTAAAATTTATGTGTTTAAACACATTATCATACATTGCTACTTGATGAGCCAACAGTCTAGTAGCTGAGAGAATTCTACATTTGGAATAAAATTCTATTTTGATTTTAATAAGCATCACATGAGTTTACGCTTCTTATCAAGGGAAGACCATGTTTATCACCTTTCATCTTTTAAGAAATACTCCTCTGTTAAGTCAGATAATCCTTATTTAACATATCAAATGAAAAACAGCAGCAAAAAACATAAAACAAACAAAAGTCTAATCTGACCCATAGTTGTTCAATTCTAAGTGTTCAACTGTTGGGTTTTTTTAAACCATAATACCATTTTAACAACCCTCCGAATTCATGTACAAGATTCAGGGATAGAAACGGCTTTGAAATCCAAGTTCAGGCATGGATTCCAAGTTTGCCAATTTTCTACTCTTTTTAGTTTCTCAGAGAAAAAGACAAATTTTAATTACCTTTGCACTTCAAACCCTTAAATTTATATGGTTGATAAATGAAAGCCTTTCATAATTTCCTAGAAAACAATATCAACCCCATTTGTATATTGATCTCATGAGTCACATGTATCCCATATGCCTGGAATATGTTTAGAGCTATCTTAGTTGTGTCTGATCACACAGAAGAGCAGCTTCATTCATATGGCTTTCTTTTACTGATAAAGACTAGCACAGGTATATCAATCATACAGTTTAGTTTGTCTTATAGCACACTTGCTGGAACAAAACATGCCAACAAGAATTTCAGCAAGATATGTTACTATTGGAAAAATACTGCTCAGATGTGTTTGTGTGTATGTACACACACATATATACGTCACACCTTCTAGTAATCTCCATCGATTTTTCAGGAGTCGATAAAAGAGCGCACACTTCATTGTACACTCAGTTACAACATGTTGGTGCACAATATGAAGTGGCTGAGTTGAATATGATCTATTTTATAGTCTGCTATGTCTGCAGCAGAGAGGTGGAATATGTATTTACTTACAACTCGCTCAAGAGTCAATGTTATTAATATAATCTTGCAATCTGTATAAATTTCCACATGAGCTTTTGCCTGCCTACGCTGATTAGAAAATGAACCAAAGTAAACAAGCATGTCAGAAACAAAGCAGAAGTGACAAACCTAAGGTTTTTGTGACCTAATTTCTTTGGAATAAGGTTTTGATCCAGGAGATGCATTTTCACTTCATATTCATCATTTTTCCCTAGTACGTCCATTTTCTAGTCACTATTAACAATTTACTTTCTAAACTACGGACAGAGGTTTTATTTTCATAACAACTGTGCAGTTTCATTAAAATTCAAGCCTAAACACTTTCCTGCTGGTTGCAAAGTGTCTATTTTCCTCCTTACTACATATTCTTTTCTGTTCCAGAAATGTAGTGAAATTTTCATTTTATATTAGCAGATAAGTAAGTCCAGCCACAACCACAAGAGACTATAAGGATAGATTTGAACATGAATTGCTTTCCTACTAGCTGCAATTTGCAACTGTACTATTGTGTATATAAAATAACATGTAATCCTACTGTTTTGCCTCGATGTGTTTCTCCACAAATATACTGGAAATATTTTTTGGGGGAATAGAAACTATACATCATGCATTCTCTACACAACTGTGCAGCTGGGTCACATTCAAAAATTATTATATTTATGAGACTGACAATTTTAAAAGGTATGTGTTTCTTCTGGCTGGAAATCAATTAACAGGGAAAAAAACTAATTCATTTGAGCACTGTATCAACATAACTAGGTTACTCCATTCTGCTCACTAGCTACTTTCATGGATGGGATAGCCTAAATCAGATCCTGGAATGGAATAAGCTGTG